TGTGTGTGTGTGTGTGTGTGTGTGTGTACAGGGGATCGAACCTGGGACCTTACGTTTGCAAGGCAGGCGGCAGCACCACTGAGCTAAATCCCTGGCCCAAGAACATACTCTTAAGTGAAATAAATCAGACACACGTGTTTAAACACCACATTGTTTCTCTGCTGTGAGAGACCAGAAGTGTCTGATAGATATTGGGAAATGGGGAAAAAAATACTCAAATGAGAAGGGGAACAAGGGAGGGTGAAGAGGACAGCAAAGAAAGGACAAGAAAAAATGGAAACAGCTTTAGTAAACAAGGTGGGGAAGAGGGGTTGAAGGGAGGGAGGGGAATGGGAAATGAAGCAAGATTCAACATGTAGGTACAAATTCCCTGTGATGAGTGTTATCAGTATGTATATCTAAAATGTACCAGTGGGAGCAGGGATGTAGCTCAGCACCACTGCACCTGCCTGGCAAGTGCAAGGTCCTGAGTTTGATCGCTGGTATCAAAAAAATATATATATACCGATTTAAAAAGGTAAAATAATAGGCCTTAATGATATTTTCACATGTATATAACATTTTTATCCATATAACATATCAGATTCATCCTTCCAATTACTCTCACATCTCTCCCCCAAACTTATTCCCTCCATGAACCCAGGGCCTTCACAATGAGCTACATCAACACTGGGCTGGGGATTTAGCTCAGTGGTTCTGGCGCCTGCCTCAAAAGCGCAAGATCCCGAGTTCAATCCCCTGTACCAAAAAAAAAACAAAACATACATCAACACTTTTTTTGTACTTGGGATCGAACTCAGGACCTTGCGCTTGCAAGGCAAGCACGGTGCCACTGAGCTAAATCCCCACCCCAACACTTTTTATTTTTTATTTTGAGAGAGTCTCACCAAGTTATACATACTGGACTGGAACTTGCAGTCCTCCTACCTCAGCCTCCCAGAATTCTGGGGTTACAGCCATGTGCCACCATGCAGTTCCTCTTTTCTAATAATAAGTTTCCCTTCTACTTTCATGCCATTTAAAAAATATATCCCACATGTTGGAAAAGATGTGATACTTGTCTTTCCGGATCTTATTTTATTCAACATGATGATCTCCAGTTCCATCCATTTTCCTGCAAATAACACAACCTCCTACTTTTTTAAAGCTGAATAATGCCCCATTGTGTATATATACCACATTTTCTGTGGCTGGGCACCTAGGCTGGTTCCATTTCTTGACGATGGTGAATTTTGCAGCAATAAATATGGCTCCCCAGTATGCCTATAGTAGGCTGCCTAATGCCTTCCTGTGTACACCAAGGAGTGGTATCTCTGGGGCCTGGGGCTTATAATAGCTGTTTTTAGTTTTTTGTTATTGGGGTTTTTTTTCAATTGTGAGAATGTAATGTTTTTCATTATAGTTGTGATTATTTTATTTATGGGGGGGGTACCGGGGATTGAACTCAGGACCTTGTGCTTGCAAGGCAGGCGGCGGAACCACTGAGCTAAATCTCCATTCCCTCTGTTTTTAGTTTTTTGTGGAACCTCTGTACTGATTTCCATAGTGGCAGCACAGAGTAAATATATCCCCTTTAAAAGCTGCCTTTTGAGTTGAAATATCATGTCCCTAGAAGAATGCACATAGGGTGAGTGGAGGGCTCACTGAAGGACACAAGGATACACAAACGAGCTGACAGGACATTCCCAGGTTGGCAGCAGCCCTGAAGGGATGAGAAGCTAGAAGAAACTCAATTACATTCTCAATAACTTCTTAAAAATGCAGTCCAATCCCCGGTACCAAAAAAAAAGAAAGAAAGAAAAACAACGCAGTCCACCGTAGTAGAGGAAGTCAAGGAACGACCCTGTGCAGATGCTGAGCATCCCTTCATGGCCCACAGTGCCATGCTGAGACACAGCCGTTCTGGGGAAATGCCAAAATAATCTGCTTTTGAAAAAGCTAGAGATGATTTTCTTTTTCACACTTATAGTTTTGCTTTACAAGTAATACAGATTCGTTGTATAACACTTGAAACTATAGATAAAATGCCACAACCTGTAATCCTACAATTGAGAGGATAATGTGATAGCACTGTTGTAGAGAACAGGGAAAGGGGACGTTACCAGAACCTCTGCAGTTAAGTCCTAGTCTCCTGCGAGCCACAGCAGCACAAGGCAAATTACAGAAAAGGTAGAAAAATGAGACTGAGAAGAAGCTGAGCTTTGGGTCTGATCAGTGCTGCTCTGGGGGGCAAAGACGAAAGCCCCCAGCTTACTGCACCTTTTATTCAGTACTCAGTACATCGGGAGAAACAAATGTAACAAATGACTCGCAGAGAGTTCAGTACATCCTGGGTAAACAAGGTGTAACAGTCCAAGATCAAGGAGGAACTGAGTAGATGTTTGTTCTCCCAGGATGTTT